TGATCAGCCTGATAGGGTGCCGTGGGTGTGTCCAGCTTACACTTGTGTAAAGCAATGGAATGAAACATCCAACCAATGCCTCGAGTCATGCTGTAGGTCCACCACATACCCAGAGGGTTGTAGGGTCCCGTCCAGAAGCAACCCCTAGCCCCTACCCCTATACACTTGTGGAGATCTGAGAGGATTGGACAGGTGTAAGCAATACCGCCAAAATTCCACCAAGCCTTTCAGAGGGTAAGGTGGAGCTCTCACCATGTCACCACCCATCAATCCCTCTCAGATCTGTCTAGAAGTGTCTTGACTGGGCACTAGGGGCTAGGGGTTGTTTCTGGACAGGCCATGGGTATTATGGTAGCGCAGTCAGTCAGTCAGTTAGTCTGGCACTGGAAAATATTGTCTCCTATAGCTTGGAATATGTGACTGGATGACAACATAATGATGTTTGTTTCCAACATTAGGGTTGTTTTCCTAAAGAAGTAAAATCTGCTAAGTGTTTTGTATCCTTGCCATAATATTAACAAGTATTGTGATACTGGTATCATCCCGGCCCTACTATGAGGTCGAAATAACACTCTGAAATTGTGAAAATTATGATAATGCCCTTTTTGTGTAAGAGCGGTATGAAAAACAATGCCTGGAATTTCAGCCTGTTCAGGTGGAATGGAACTTTTGGCCCACATCATGACATCACAATGTAATCTGATTATAATAGACCAATGACTGTTATTTTCATTAAATAACCACACACAGTGATTTATTAGACATACAGTGATGATTTAAAAATACAAATACAAAGACTGCATGGGGACTTTAATAGCTGTCAAATACTTGCTTCCTCTGTCCTTGGGAGAATCTCAATTGCATTTCCTTGATTCGTCGCATCCCCTCTCCTCGTCTCCTTCTCAAAACCCATTTGATGAGAAGGTCAGAGGTCCTTCCCCTTTCACCTTCTTATCCAATGGGTTTTTGAGAAGGAGGCAAGGCGAGAGGACGTGAAATACAATTGGGATTCTCCCCTTGTTTCCCCCATTCCTCATTTCCCTCTCAAAGCACATTGGGGGAGAGGAGTTAAGGTTCCTCCCCTCAGGCTACAATGCACTTTCAAGGAGAGGCAAAGTGTTGAGGAAACAAGGACAGAGGAAGCAAGAATTAGATGGCTAGTTTTCAGATTCAGACTTGCACACACACACACAATGCTTGAAATGGTTACTGATTATAATGATTTCATTATTGGTTATTATTATTGTCAATGATTTTGTTGACAGAACCCATTGTATTTCTTATTGTATTATATTATATTATTATATCAACTATTAAAACATATAGAAATGCTGTTGTTTATCTTTTTTATTCTTCAGCAATGTTTAGCATGGCTATAAATGATCGAGAAGTTGACTAAAGCACAAAAAGACCTGGCAACTAGGTATGACAAAGAAACACGCAGTGTCCATGTTTCTAGTGCCATTTTGAATGACATGTAGATGTTTTGTTGTTGCTAGGTGGAGTTATGGTCTCATTGTGCCTACCTTTGTAACTACAGATGTGAAGCTGCAAGAAAATCATATTTAAATGTATATCAAACCATTTTGAAATGTTGACCCTAATGTTACACATTGGCCCCTTTATTTCTAAAAAGATCCACATGCAGTACAGTAGAAGGTGTAAAGAGTTGAAAACTGTTTCCACTCCATAACAACAGTGCAAACAACCACTGTTGGTAGAGAGGAGGACGAGAGAAGAGCATAGGTAAGCACTACTAGATGCTATTTGTCATTTAGCCAAATATACATTCCTTTTTCCTGGGGCGGCAGGTAGCTTGGTGGGTAAGAGCGTTGTGCCAGTAACCGAAAGGTCGCTGGTTCTAATCCCCGACAAAACTAGGTGAAAAATCTGTTGATGTGCCCTTAAGCAAGGCACTTAACCCTAATTGCTCTGGATAAGAGCGTCTGCTAAATGACAAAAATGTAAATGTTTTTCACACATGCAAGAGTGCATGCACAAAAAATGTCCATAAAATTAACATTAGCTTTACCAGTTCCCCATTTCTACGTTTTACTGTATTCTTACCCTCATCGTCTCTGGCATGGTCAACTCAAGTTCATAATTTTGCACATAGGTGTGACGAGATTAACATTATTTCACTCCATGGGCAACAGTAGCTACTAAAATGGTCTCATCAGAACATTCTCTCCCATAGCACTGGGTGCATAACAAGTTGAACTTTTTCATAAGACTTCAATGTAGGCTAAGCCTATGGACCTACTATGAAATCAACACATTGAGCAGGGTTGCATATTATTAAAAGCCATTTATTTAAGTCAGAATCTTGTAAACTGGCCAGTAAATAAAACGGTATCAATGATCTGCCTGCTTCACGGTGTCACACGCACACACACTTCACTGAAAACACTGCACTGAAAACAACTACCTTGAATGCCTCCTGATCCTACAGGACAGCACAGCGTGGCATGACATGGGTGTAGGCAACTGGGTAGGGGAAGAGTTAAATGACTATTTCCAAACTGTTTCGAGAGAGAGATTGTTGCTAAAAGAAGGAAAGGGCTATAAATGCATCACTTGAACATCAATCATATGAAAATGAATCAAACTGTCTCTTAAAAACATGGAATCACATAGCTCATATTCCAAAGTGGTCTAAAAGCCCTCCAGTATTTCATTGGTGGAACCCTACATATAATGCCCCTTTAAAACACTGTCTTTAGCATGCCATTTAGAAGACTTTGTTTTCAATAGAGGAATACAATAAAATAATAACAACAAAAAAACATACACATCTGTCATTACAGAAATCTCCATAAATATCAGACAACTGAACATCAGTCAGAGAGACTACTTCCTGGAGAGCAGAAATATGTCAGGGGCTACATGGGAAAAGTAGTCTTATATACACAATCTATACACAGGCCTGGCTCTGGACATGATTGATGTTTTCATGGCACAATTCATTTTCACATAGGAGTAAACAACACTGATATCCCAAGCCCCCCAAACCTAAAATGTACAGGTACAGTAGATTAATACATGGCGATGAGAATACCCTGCCCAATGGGCAAAAACTGGTTGAATCACTGTTGTTTCCACGTCATTTCAATCAAAACAATCTATGTAATGATGTTAAATCAACGTGGAAAACCCATTGGATTTGCAAAAAGACATCAACGTAAGGGCATTTTGTATTTTTTTCACTTAACATTTAACCTAAATCCAATGACATAGTTAATTTTTTTGTTGTTGATTTCACATTGAATTTACAATAGTTGACAACTCAACCAAATGTAATGAGATGAGAGAATTACATTTTGATAAGAATAAGCTACAGTGGCTTGCGAAGGTTTTCACCCCCCTTGGCATTTTTCCTATTTTGTTGCTTACAACCTGGAATTAAAATAGATTTTTTGGAGGTTTGTATCATTTGATTTACACAACATGCCTACCACTTTGAAGATGCAAAATATTTTTTATTGTGAAACAAACAAGAAATAAGACAAAAAAACAGAGAACTTGAGTGTGCATAACTTTTCACCCCCACAAAGTCAATACTTTGTAGAGCCACCTTTTACAGCAATTACAGCTGCAAGTCTCTTGGGGTATGTGATGTAAATGTAAATGATGTAAATGTAAATGTATGTCTCTATAAGCTTGGCACATCTAGCAACTGGGATTGTTGCCCATTCTTCAAGGCAAAACTGCTCCAGCTCCTTCAAGTTGGATGGGTTCTGCTGGTATACAGCAATCTTTAAGTCATACCACTGATTCTCAATTGGATTGAGGTCTGGGCTTTGACTAGGCCATTCCAAGACATTTAAATGTTTCCCCTTAAACAACTTGAGTGTTGCTTTAGCAGTATGCTTAGGGTCATTGTCCTGCTGGAAGGTGAACCTCCGTCCCAGTCTCAAATCTCTGGAAGACTAAAACAGGTTTCCCTCAAGAATTTCCCTGTATTTAGTGCCATCCATCATTCCTTCAATTCTGACCAGTTTCCCAGTCCCTGCCAATGGAAAAACATCCCCACAGCATGATGCTGCCACCACCATGCTAAACTGTGGGGATGGTGTTCTCGGGGTGATGAGAGGTGTTGGGTTTGCGCCAGACATAGCGTTTTCCTTGATGGCCAAAGAGCTCAATTTTAGTCTCATCTGACCACGGTACCTTCTTCCATATGTTTGGGGAGTCTCCCAGATGGCTTTTGGTGGGCGGCCCTCTCTTGGCAGGTTTGTTGTGGTGCCATATTCTTTCAATTTTTTTAATAATGGATTTAATGGTGCTCCGTGGGATGTTCAAAGTTTTGGATATTTTTTTTATAACCCAACCCTGATCTGTACTTCTCCACAACTTTGTCCCTGAGCTGTTTGGAGAGCTCCTTGGTCTTCATGGTGCCGCTTGCTTGGTGGTGCCCCTTGCTTAGTGGTGTTGCAGACACTGGGGCCTTTCAGAACAGGTGTATATATACTGAGAGCATGTGACAGATCATGTGACACTTAGATTGCACACAGGTGGACTTTATTTAACTAATTATGTGACTTCTGAAGGTAATTGGTTGCACCAGATCTTATTTAGGGGCTTCATAGCAAAGGGGGTGAATACATATGCACGCACCACTTTTCCGTTATTTATTTTTCTGAATTTTTTCATTTCAATTCACCAATTTGGACTATTTTGTTTATGTCCATTACATGAAATCCAAATAAATATTCATTTAAATTACAGGTTGTAATGCAACAAAATAGGAAAAACGGCAAGGGGGATGAATACTTTTGCAAGGCACTGTATGTTAATTCGATATCTGAGTGAGAATGACTAACAAAATCAATGGAGGTCCCCTGGAGGTCAGGGCCTCTGGGCATGTGCCCGGTCGTTATTTTGCCATGATTATTACAAGTTTAGATAGCTGGCTAGACTAACTACCAATAAAATAATTGGCATGGCTAATTGTCAGCTAATTGAGTGACTGACATAACAAGATAAAAACTGCTTATGCACAACCACATTTCTAAATTGCACCTGGTGTGTTATTCTAGTTTGACTCTCAATAGTAAGTTGAGATCCCGACGTAGTTCCAAAAAAATGAATACAAATGTTTTGGCCCGGGGGCCCCCTAGCAACCGCAGGTCCTAAGCAACTGCTTATGCGCTTATGCCTGGAGTTGGCCCTGAAGACACACATTATGCAGTCTATGTAAGCCTCTCCAGTCGTTGCAAGTCCTCAGTAGTAGTCATCATTAGTAGTCTTTAGAGGACCAAACACAGTCCAGCAGCTAAGTGGGCAAGTCAGTGCCCTTCACATCATAGTAACTCTTACTTTTACCAGATTCTTACAGTACAATAGAAAACGTACACAAGAAAAATAGTGTGTGTGTGTGAGAGGAAGAGGGGGAGAGAAAGAAAGGGATAGAGAAATAGGATAATATAACAATAATATTAGTATTATTTTCATTTAAAAAAGCAGTAGTTTTCCCTGTCACTGTAACTGAACACTCTGGTAGCAAACATGAGCCCAAAGAGTACATATACAACAAGATGGAGGGATAGATCTATCCCTCAGTAACATACAGTACCCAATGTAGCTAATGTACAATAGTCAAACCAATACTCCAGTCAGTGTCCATGATAGCTTCACTTTTCACTGCTTGTTGACGTTTGTTCTTCTTTTCTTGTTTTTACTGGTCATGTTGGTGATGAATCCTGTTCATCATGATTGTTTCCTCATTTCTATTCTTCATGTGTAGAAAAACACCTAAGTACCAGCTAGGCTCCGTCACAGTTTGTTGTAGTGCAATGAGTACACCGACTCCCTCCCTCGCTGGGCTGGCCTGAGGGTTAGCTGCCATGGTGCTCTTTTAGCTCTTTTAGCTCTTTTGTCTTCCCCAGAATATTAGATCTGGAGAAAGATAGGAGGAAACACACAGGTGGTTTACATAAGGTAAGACGAAATACAATTTCACAACTGCAGTTTCTCACTTTATATTTGATTGACCTGACTATGTCACTCATTAGGCTATCCAATAATGATAACAATAATGATAATAATAATACATTTTATTTAGCACTTCTCACTACAATCAAGAATCTCAAAGTTGTTTTGAAAACAAAAACAAATGTAGGATCTGGCTATATATACAGTACCAGTCAAAAGCTTGGACACACCTACTCATTCCAGGGTTTTTCTTTATTTTTACTATTTTCTACATTGTAGAATAATAGTGAAGACATCAAAACTATGAAATAACACATATGGAATCATGTAGTAACCAAAAAAGTGTTAAACAAATCAAAATATATTTTATATTTGAGATTCTTCAAAGTAGCCACCCTTTGCCTTGATGACAGCTTTGCACACTCTTGGCATTCTCTCAACAAGCTTCATGAGGTAGTCACCTGGAATGCATTTCAATTAACAGGTGTGCCTTCTTAAAAGTTAATTTGTCGAATTTCTTTCCTTCTTAATGCGTTGGAGACAATCAGTTGTGACAAGGTAGGGGGGGTATACAGAAGATAGCCCTATTTGGTAAAAGACCAAGTCCATATTAAGACAAGAACAGCTCAAATAAGCAAAGAGGATCGACAGTCCATTACTTTAAGACATGAAGGTCAGTCAATCCGGAAAATTTCAAGAACTTTGAATGTTTCTTCAAGTGCAATTGCAAAAACCATCAAGTGCTATGATGAAACTGGCTCTCATGAGGACCGCCACAGGAAAGGAAGACCCAGAGTTACCTCTGCTGCAGAGGATAGGTTCATTACAGTTAACTGCACCTCACAGAGTTAAAGTAACAGACACATCTCAACATCAACTGTTCAGAGGAGATTGTGTGAATCAGGCCTTCATGGTCTAATTGCTGCAAAGAAATCACTACTAAAGGACACCAATAAGAAGAGACTTGTTTGGGCCAAGAAACACGAGCAATGGACATTAGACCGGTGGAAATGTGTCCTTTGGTCTGGAGTCCAAATTGGAGATTTTTGGTTCCAACCGCCGTGGCTTTGTGAGATGCGATGTGGGTGAACGGATGATCTCTGCATGTGTATTTCCCACCGTAAAGCATGGACGGGGAGGTGTTATGGTGTGGGGGTGCTTTGCTGGTGACACTGTCTGTGATGTATTTAGAATTCAAGGCACACTTAACCAGCATGGCTACCACAGCATTCTGCAGCGATACGCCATCCCATCTGGTTTGCTCCTAGTGGGACTGTGATGTGTGTATATATATATATACACTGCTCAAAAAAATAAAGGGAACACTTAAACAACACAATGTAACTCCAAGTCAATCACACTTCTGTGAAATCAAACTGTCCACTTAGGAAGCAACACTGATTGACAATACATTTCACATGCTGTTGTGCAAATGGAATAGACAACAGGTGGAAATTATAGGCAATTAGCAAGACACCCCCAATAAAGGACTGGTTTTGCAGGTGGTGACCACAGACCACTTCTCAGTTCCTATGCTTCCTGGCTGATGTTTTGGTCACTTTTGAATGCTGGCGGTGCTTTCACTCTAGTGGTAGCATGAGACGGAGTCTACAACCCACACAAGTGGCTCAGGTAGTGCAGCTCATCCAGGATGGCACATCAATGCGAGCTGTGGCTAGAAGGTTTGCTGTGTCTGTCAGCGTAGTGTCCAGAGTATGGAGGCGCTACCAGGAGACAGGCCAGTACATCAGGAGACGTGGAGGAGGCCGTAGGAGGGCAACAACCCAGCAGCAGGACTGCTACCTCTGCCTTTGTGCAAGGAGGAGCAGGAGGAGCACTGCCAGAGCCCTGCAAAATGACCTCCAGCAGGCCACAAATGTGCATATGTCTGCTCAAACGGTCAGAAACAGACTCCATGAGGGTGGTATGAGGGCCCGACGTCCACAGGTGGGGGTTGTGCTTACAGCCCAACACCGTGCAGGACGTTTGGCATTTGCCAGAGAACACCAAGATTGGCAAATTCGCCACTGGCGCCCTGTGCTCTTCACAGATGAAAGCAGGTTCACACTGAGCACGTGACAGACGTGACAGAGTCTGGAGACGCCGTGGAGAACGTTCTGCTGCCTGCAACATCCTCCAGCATGACCGGTTTGACGGTGGGTCAGTCATGGTGTGGGGTGGCATTTCTTTGGGGGGCCGCACAGCCCTCCATGTGCTCGCCAGAGGTAGCCTGACTGCCATTAGGTACCGAGATGAGATCCTCAGACCCCTTGTGAGACCATATGCTGGTGCGGTTGGCCCTGGGTTCCTCCTAATGCAAGACAATGCTAGACCTCATGTGGCTGGAGTGTGTCAGCAGTTCCTGCAAGAGGAAGGCATTGATGCTATGGACTGGCCCGCCCGTTCCCCAGACCTGAATCCAATTGAGCACATCTGGGACATCATGTCTCGCTCCATCCACCAACGCCACGTTGCACCACAGACTGTCCAGGAGTTGGTGGATGCTTTAGTCCAGGTCTGGGAGGAGATCCCTCAGGAGACCATCCGCCACCTCATCAGGAGCATGCCCAGGCGTTGTAGGGAGGTCATACAGGCACGTGGAGGCCACACACACTACTGAGCCTCATTTTGACTTGTTTTAAGGACATTACATCAAAGTTGGATCAGCCTGTAGTGTGGTTTTCCACTTTAATTTTGAGGGTGACTCCAAATCCAGACCTCCATGGGTTGATACATTTGATTTCCATTGATAATTTTTGTGTGATTTTGTTGTCAGCACATTCAACTATGTAAAGAAAAAAAGTATTTAATAAGATTATTTCATTCATTCAGATCTAGGATGTGTTATTTAAGTGTTCCCTTTATTTTTTTGAGCAGTGTATATACAGTATAGAAATATAGATATCTGTCTTACCTAAGTGCTTTCCATCTGTCCTTCTCCACCTGGTTCTCTGGGCTCTCACTCTCATAGGATGCCAGATAGAGTCCTAGGGATGACAGAGAAAAAGAAAGAAAGCATGAGTTACATATTCAAGTCTGATACTTTGTATCAGTTTCAGCCGTATATTCACTGTGATGTTTGACTATAACTAGTTAAACATACAAAAAACTATCTAAAATGATAAACGAAATGTAAATGGCTATAGCTAGCGAACAATGTATGTGGCTAACTATCTAGCTAATTTAGACAGTTTGTCCCGTTGACTATACATGGGCTACGATTAGCATGCTAATCGATTAGCATGCGCCCAAGTGTGGATATTTTAGTCAGATAAACATGAAACTGAACACAGTACGCATGTATTAATGTATCGTGATCAAACACTGTAGTGAAGAAACATTTGAGACGTGAATGGCAAACATTTAATTTCAAAACGGGAGATGATTTTCTCTCACTGCAGCTAAAAAACGGCCCCATGTTTTCCTAAATGTTTTGAATGGCAGACTGATCACATTACCAATATCTGTGCTCTGATTGGAGGATTACTAAAGATTGCTCACTAGGTGGTGCTACCGATCAAAATTCCCCAGATTATGAAAAGTAGATCATTTTCAATGGAGAAATGTTGCAGCAACGATTGCTAGTGCTGCAGAAATATATATATATATATCATCGGCTCATGTTAGGTGTGACTGTGTGTCTTACCGTCCTCACTGAAGATGGGAGCAGTGTGGAGGTAGTGTAGGATGCTCCTGTCTGTCTCAAACGGACACTCCATTTGTTTCCACGTCATAAACTCTCCCACCTGACGAGCCAACTCCACAAATTTCTGAAAACAAAATTAACAAAGGATACGCCCCATTACAAAGAGAAAGAGAGAGAATAAAATAAAATCCTACATTTTTAAGTATCAGTATAATGTTTGCAGCCTTACCGCAAAATGGACATGGCCATTGGGCAAGCGGTTGGCACATCCCTCATTCAGGAAGTAGATATCTTTGATCAGTAGGCTGAAGAAGGGAATCACAATCTAAAAAAAAGAGAGATAGAAAGTGAGTTATAGAAAAATATTAATTTCAAGTTTTATGCACTGGGTTTTGATGCACGAAAATGGGTCAGGTGAGTCCAGTAGTTTAGGTCGGAGTTAGATGAAATAGAGAATGGTGGGTTGAACGGTAGGCTACCTTCTCCCTGTTGCTATTAGCAGTCTGGGACCTGTGGGCAGCTCCCCTCAGCGCTGTTCTGTAGTTGTAGAAGTTTCCAGTAGGGTCCATCTGATGCTGTATGGGAGAACAACATAGCATTCCAAAGTTGTCCATGATAAGCATTGGTCCCACCTTATTGTGGCACTAAAACCATGTTTTTAAACAGCAACTGAACCTAAAAAGCAACTTCTCATTTTGAAAACAGCCTACAGTAGAAGTCGGAAGTTTACATACACTTAGGTTGGAGTCATTAAAACTTGTTTTTCAACCATTCCACAAATTTCTTGTTAACAAACTACAGTTTTGGCAAGTCGGTTAGGACATCTACTTTGTGCATGACACAAGTAATTTTTCCAACAATTGTTTACAGACATATTATTTCACTTATAATTCACTGTATCACAATTACAGTGGGTCAGAAGTTTATATACACTAAGTTGACTGTGCCTTTAAACAGCTTGGAAAATTCCAGAAAATGATGGCATGGCTTTAGAAGCTTCTGATAGGCTGATTGACATCATTTGAGTCAATTGGAGGTGTACCTGTGTATGTATTTCAAGGCCTACCTTCAAACTCAGTGCCTCTTTGCTTGACAACATGGGAAAATGAAAAGAAATCAGCCAAGACCTCAGAAAAAGAATTGTAGACCTCCACAAGTCTGGTTCTTCCTTGGGAGCAATTTCCAAATGCCTGAAGGTACCACATTCATCTTTACAAACAATAGTACGCAAATATAAACACCATGGGACCACACAGCCGTCATACCGCTCAGGAAGGAGATGCGTTCTGTCTCCTAGAGATGAACGTACTTTGGTGCGAAAAGTGCAAATCAATCCCAGAACAACAGCAAAGGACCTTGTGAAGATGCTGGAGGAAACAGGTACAAAAGTATCTATATCCACAGTAAAACGAGTCCTATATCGACATAACTTGAAAGGCCGCTCAGCAAGGAAGAAGCCACTGCTCCAAAACCACCATAAAAAATACAGACTACGGTTTGCAACTACAAAGATCGTACTTTTTGAAGAAATGTCCTCTGGTCTGATGAAACAAAAATAGAACTGTTTGGCCATAATGACCATCGTTATGTTTGGAGGAAAAAGGGGGACTTGCAAGCCGAAGAACACCATCCCAACCGTGAAGCACGGGGGTGGCAGCATCATGCAGTGGGGGTGCTTTGCTGCAGGAGGGACTGGTGCACTTCACAAAATAGATGGCATCATGCGGAAGGAAAATGATGTGGATATATTGAAGCAACATCTCAAGACATCAGTCAGGAAGTTAAAGCTTGGTCGCAAATGGGTCTTCCAAATGGACAATGACCCCAAGCATACTTCCAAAGTTGTGGAAAAATGGCTTAAGGACAACAAAGTCAAGGTATTGGAGTGGCCATCACAAAGCCCTGACCTCAATCCTATAGAACATTTGTGGGCAGAACTGAAAAAGCGTGTGCGAGCAAGGAGGCCTAGAAACCTGACTCAGTTACACCAGCTCTGTCAGGAGGAATGGGCCAAAATTCACCCAACTTATTGTGGGAAGCTTGTGGAAGGCTACCCGAAACGTTTGACCCAAGTTAATCAATTTAAAGGCAATGCTACCAAATACTAATTGAGTGTATGTAAACTTCTGACCCACTGGGAATGTGATGAAAGAAATAAAAGCTTTAATAAATAATTCTCTCTATTATTATTCTGACATTTCACATTCTTAAAATAAAGTGGTGATCCTAACTGACCTAAGACATGGAATATTTACTAGGATTAATATATCAGGAATTGTGAAAAACTGAGTTTAAATGTATTTGGCTAAGGTGTCTTTAAACCTCCGACTTCAACTGTATGTGGCATCTATATGAGTCAGAAACGTTTATTCTAGTGTTAAAATTGACTACACAGTGTAAATAGGATAATTTTGGTCGTAAAGTCAGTCTCGTCCAAAACTGAGATTTGTAAGATGATAGGAAAAAATTGTATGTCACGGAATGAAGGGTACCGTAACAGTTTTCCTTCCTTGCTCACAGCTGGCAGCACCCAAGTAATCATCAATTTGTAGCGCAGCTGCACTTGACCTGATCGTAATGCCCATGGTCAATTTGGTATGACATTCAATATCCCTATGGGGTTAGTTAGGGACTATCAGTAAATTACACAATGCACATGGGACAATATTTTAAAAGGTCAATAGGTCCAAATTTCAATGACTTAAAAACCTCAAACAAACTATTTAAAAAAATTATTCAAATACAAAAATTGAAAGCATTTAATATGACAACTAAAACATGTGCAACATGAAAATATTGTCCCATTTAAATTGTGTAATTTATTGACAGTCCATAACTAGCCCCAAAGATAGGCTATCCAATGTCAAACCCACTTTGCCACAGTCGCACACCAGCCGGCTGAAGCTAATTGGCGAAAGAAGTTGGCTAGCGTTAGCCTAGGCGACTTCAAGACAAGACCTGGTTAGACTATTTCAAGTTATTTAGATGGGTGAGTGATCTTAATTGTGTACTGTTTTGTCAGAGTGAATGTACAAACGCTTGCCATGTGCGAACAAACACACAAGAGACACACATATTAAACCACCCCCCCAAGACAACTCTCGTTTAGCTTCAGTCATAGCTGCTGCATTTCTTAATGACCAAGCCTAAAAACGAGGCCAAATCAGGAAGTTCAGCCCCCATTAAACTGTAGTTTAATAGGCAGGTAAAGTGTTTTCTCCATATTCTACCAATGACATACGGTTTCATATTAGTGAGTTATACCTCCAGAATGAAGTACTTGGCAGTCTTGGCTTTCCCCCAGGTCTTCTTCAGCCGAGACACAGGACTCATATTCATACCAGCTAGAGGAGCAGACATGTTAAATATCAGTATATTGCCAAATATCAGTGTATGATCTTGTATTGTGTGGGATACAGTCGAGACACTCACAGATGATGGCCATGAGGGAGTTGAAGTTGCCGATGTTGAAGCACTCTCTGGCCACATCGATGAAGAACTCGATCACCTGGGCTCTCTGCTTCTTCTTAGCAGGCTGAGAGGAGACATAAACAAGCTGGTAGTGAGATATAATGGATGTAAATTACATGCAAAACAAAATATATTTGGCCCAGTTCTGGGAAGAAAGTATACTGCCTCACAGTCACAATGGGGATCTGAGTGTAGTAATGCTACATTGCCACCTTGGGCACTAAAGAACCGTGACTGAATCATCAACCTCAGTGAGGGAAGACTGGCACAATGAAGACGAGAATAACATGTGAAATCATTTACCATGCAGATCTCAGTGGCCACCAGGTAGCACAGCCTGTTGAACCACCTGACATAAGCCTCCAAGTTAGTGGTCTTCTTCTTCTGCTCACTGAAACACGGCTGCAAGAGACACAAACACACAATATTGTACATCAGGACCAGAGAGGGCCACCTTACTAGGCATTCAGGTCCCTATTCAGACTTGAGATAAGTTGACTTAACATGGACTTAGGTCCATGTTTTCTTGACTTATAGTAAGTCCATGTTAAGTCTACTTCATGACCTTTACCAGGGCTCCCTCTCAGCCAGAGAAGGTTAGCATTTTGACATCTGGGGCACACCCATTGAAAAGGTGTCATCCTACAAGTACCTTGGTCTTTGGTTGGACGATAAACTGTCTTACAAAGTTCATGTAGATAATCTTGTGAGGAATCTTAAAATTAAATAGTTTTTTTATTTTCGTAACAAGGCTTCCTCCCGTTTGAGGCTAGAAAGAAAATTGTTCAAGATAATTTCTTTCTGTAATTGATTATGGTGACGTATTGTATATGCATGCAGCCTCTACTGTGTTAAAGAGACTGGACTGAGTTTATTATGCATCTTTGCATTTGTTACAAATGCCAAGTCACAAACCCATCATTGTATCAAATGGTGGGCTGGACCTCGATTTACAGTCCCTTCGGAAAGTATTACTTTTTTCAGCTTTATTCTAAAATTGATTAAAATGTTTTCTTTTTCATCAATCTACACGCAATACCCCGTAATGACAAAGCAAAAACTGGTTTTTCGAATTTTTTTGCTAATTTATGAAACATAAAAAAAATGAAATATCACATTTACATAAGTATTCAGACCCTTCACTCAGTACTTTGTTGAAACACCTTTGGTAGTGATTACAGCATCCAGTTTTCTTGGGTATGACGTTACAAGCTTGGCACACCTGTATTTGGGGAGTTTCTCCCATTGTTCTCTGCAGATCCTCTCAAGCGCTGTCAGGTTGGTTGGGGAGCATTGCTGCACAGCTATTTTCAGGTCTCAATAGAGATGTTTGATCGGGTTCAAGTCCGGGTTGTGGCTGGGCCACTCAAGGACATTCAGAGACTTGTCCCAAAGCCACTCCTGCGTTGTCTTGGCTGTGTGCTTAGGGTCATTGTCCTGTTGAAAAGTGAACCTTCACCCCAGTCTGAGGTCCTGAGCGCTCTGGAGCAGGTTTTCATCAAGGAACTCTCTATACTTTGCTCCGTTCATCTTTCCCTCGATCCTGACTAGTCTCCCAGTCCCTGCCACTGAAAAACATATCCACAGCATGATGTTGCCACCACCATGCTTCACCGTAGGGATGGTGCCAGGTTTCCTCCAGACGTGACGCTTGGCATTCAGGCCAAAGAGAACAATCTTATTTTCAACAGAACAGAGAATCTTGTTTCTCATGGTCTGAGAGTCCTTTAGGTGCCTTTTGGCAAACTCCAAGCGGGCTGTCATGTGCCTTTTACTGAGGAGTGGCTTCCGTCTGGCTACTCTACCATAAAGGCCTGATTGGTGGAGTGCTGCAGAGATGGTTGTCCTTCTGGAAGGGTCTCCCATCTCCACAGAGGAACTCTAGAGCTCTGTCAGAGTGACCATCGGGTTCTTGGTCACCTCCCTGACCAAGGCCCTTCTCCCCCGATTGCTCAGTTTGGCCGGGCAGCCAGCTCTAGGACGAGTCTGGGTGGTTCCAAACTTCTTCCATTTAAGAATGATGGAAACCACTGTGTTCTTGGGGACCTTCAATGCTGCAGAAATTTTTTGGTACCCTTCTCCAGATCTGTGCCTCGACACAATCCTGTATCGGACCTGTACAGACAATTCCTTCGACCTCATGGCTTGGTTTTTGCTCTGACATGCACTGTCAACTATGGGACCTTATATAGACAGGTGTGAGCCTTTCCAAATCATGTCCAATCAATTGAATTTACCACAGGTGGACTCCAATCAAGTTTTAGAAACATCTGAAGGATGATCAATGGAAACAGGATGCACCTGAGCTCAATTTCTAGTCTCATAGCGAAGGGTCTGAATACTTATGTAAATAAGGTATTTCTGTTTTTTATTTTTAATACATATGCAAAAATGTCAAAAAACCTGTTTTCGCTTTGTCATTATGGGGTATTGTGTGTAGATTGCTGAGGTTATATATATTTTTTAATCCATTTTAGAATAAGGCTGTAACATAACAAAATGTGGAAAAAGTCAAGGTGTCTGAATAATAATTCGGAAGGCACTGTACATGCGCAGACAGCTACATTTGTATGTGTTTATCTACAAAGCCGTTCTAATTAAACTCCCTCTCTACTTTGGTAGCCTGCACTCTTTCACGACTAGCAGTTACCAGACGTGGTCCACTAGGTGGCAGTGACTTAAAGTCCCCAGGGCCGTTACAGAGTTAGGCAAGACTGCCTTTTCCCAATGTGCACCGGAGGCATGGAACAGTCTGCAAAAAATGCTTCACCTAGATGTACTAGTGCCCCTTAGTGAGTTTAAAACTCTGGCCCAAAACTCTGTTGACGAGAGGTGTAAATGTTTTCTGTAGGCCGATCATCTCTTAATGATATGTTTTTGTGCTGTTTGTATTGTGTGTTTAAAGTATGTATGTTGCCACGAGCAACACCGCAGATATTGAGATGAGTGACATGCTAGACTTCGCTCTCACAGTCACACACAGTATCTGCCCATGTGCACAGGCTCGATTTACGCTGTGTCTCAATGGGTTTCTTTTTTCTTTTCTGAAGTCTGAATCGGGCCCTCAATGATCAGTAAAGGAATGAATTATTGTCATTTTATGTGGATTGAAACGATTTCACTATGATAATAGAGGTTTTAACTGGGCACAGACGTCAATGCAACGTCTATTCCATATTGGTTCAACGTAATTTCATTGAAATGATGTGGAAACGTTGATTCAACCAGTGTGTGCCAAGTGTGCTGACTGGGTTGATGCTATAGGGGTTTTGTCTGATGTTATGGAGGCATCTATCTAACCATAGACAGACAGACACACACACACCCTCCCTGTGTTAATGTCATCAGCAGCTGGCAGAGACAATGGAAATAGGGCAATTACTGCAGAGAGAAAGGGAGGGAGATAGAGGGAGAGAAAAAGAGAGAGACACAGAGAGAGCAAGAAAGCAACGAAAGACAGGTAAATAGAGAGAGAGGTTGCAAGAATGAAAGAGAGCAAAGGAGCGTATGCGAGAAAGATGGCGAGATACAAATAACGTAGTGTGTGTGTGTGTGCGTGCAACTGTGTGTATGTGTGTGTGTGACTGTGTGTTGTGTCGTCATCGTCATTAAAGTGAGCCCCAGGCAGAGGCTGGCCTTAGTGACCTGCTGGCCCCTGAGTGGCCCTATAGACCCGCTTTCTGATTAGTGATGCTGAAACACTCATACTCTCTCTCTCTATCTCTCTCGCTCACACTCTCTTTTCAAACAGCAAAAAAAGTATTCACACAGCAGTATACTGTAATGTTATTTCCACTGACAAAGTGCAGTATAATATATTATACCTGAGTGCTATCCAGTTTGTCTTTCTGAACGAAGGCTTGGACAAACTCTTCAGGGCCAATGTGACTCAGATGTTCCTGAAACACACAGAGCAGACCACAGCGGCATGGCCACGGATATTAACTAAATTCATCTCAGTAATGGTAGCCAATCAATACAGGAAGTCATGAATCATCGACAGATATCACATTTCCTTGAATTAACAGCTGACCCCTGGTATGCAGCTATATTAGCTCACACATTTACTTAGGCTGCATTTACACAGGCAGCCCAATTCTGACATTTTTCCAAATGTTTGGCAAAATATCTGATCTGAATTGGGCTGTCTGTGTAAATGCAGCCATAGGGGCATACAGTACTGGTCAAACGTTTTAGGACACCTACTCATTCAAGGGTTTTTCTTTATTTTTAATACTTTCTACATTGTAGAATAATAGTGAAGACATCAAAACTATGAAATAACACATATGGAATCATGTAGTAACCAAAAAGTGTTAAACAAATCAAAATATATTTTATATTTGAGATTCTTCAAATAGCCACCCTTTGCCTTGATGACAGCTTTGCACACTCTTGGCATTCTCTCAACTAGCTTCACCTGGAATGCTTTTCCAACAGTCTTGAAGGAGTTCCCACATATGCTGAGCACTTGTTGGCTGCTTTTCCTTCGGTCTGACTCATCTCAAACCATCTCAATTTGGTTGAGGTTGGAGGATTGTGGAGGCCAGGTCATCGGATGCAGCACTCCATCACTCTCCTTCTTGGTAAAATAGCCCTTACACAGCCTGGAGGTGTGTTGGGTCACTGTCTTGTTGAAAAACAAATGATAGTACCACTAAGCCCAAATCAGATGCGATGGCGTAACGGTGCAGAATGCTGTGGTAGCCATGCTGTTTAAGTGTGCCTTGAATTTTAAATATATCAGCCTGTATCTGTGCTCTGAGGGAAGCAACATAAATTCATCAAACAAGGGATGCTGGGAGTACCTCAGAATGGATTGCACCTTACGTATGACTCGTGTCTGACATAGGTGAGAAAGGTCAGTTAAGTTCATGATCCTACTACTTTGTTTCACAATGTTACCCAGCCTGTTCTTACTCTTTAAGTTTAGATTACCGAAACAGCAGATCATATTGAATGTTAAAATGGATGCAAGGAATGTTCTGTAAAAGATGGTCATCAGCGTCTTATTCACCCCGAAACTGCGGAGTTTCCTCAGGAAGATAGTATCCACATTGGCTTCAAAACTCAGTTTGCTGTCAAGGAAAGTGCCAATATATTTGTATCGATCAACTGTCTCCACTGGTTTACCATCTATCAGAGTCTGCATTGGTGGCAGTGAGCTCTTCTGGATATCAATAGCCATACCCTTGGTTTTCATGATATTACACTTTTATAAGTAGGAGCGGTCACACCATCCAACAAACTCCTCCACCACTGGGCCATGGCTCACCTCTTCATCCTGTAAAAGACTCACGATAACTGAGTTGTCTGCAAACTTAATGATATGTCTAGGGTCGTGATTACTCTGACAATCATTAGTGTACAGTACAAACAACAGAGGGGATAGGACGCACCCTTGTGGTGAACCAGTGGAGGATAGGGAACCGTTTACTTTCACCCTTTGAGTTCTATTGGTTAAAAAGTCCATCAACTAGCTGACTATGTTGAAATTGGACAAAAGCCTCTCTGCTAAGACATGTGGTGGTATACAATTAAAAGCAGAAGATAAGTTAACAAATAGTAGTTTGGCATGGATCTAACTTCCCTCAAGATGTTTAAGGACATAGTTAAGAAGAGTGATAGTTGCATCTTTCACCCCTCTCCCGACCCTATAAGCAAACTGCAATGGGTCTTACATTTTGGCCATAATCTCACCCTTAGCAATATGTTTAAAGGCTTTTATGGTCAGTGAGGTAAGGGCTACAGGTCTGTAATCATTTAAGATTATGGAGAATTTGACCTTGGCAACCGGTACCACCAATGACTCCTTCCAGACTACATGGACCCTTCGCTGTTGCAGTGACAGCTGGAAGATAGAGGAAAATATGCCACTGAGTTGTCTAGCACTTTTTTTTTTGTCTAGCACCTTGTACCTCCATCTTTATACTTCACCTTAGCCAGTTTAGCCTCCCTCTTTAACCTTTTCTGTGCTTCCCTACTCTGGGTGACATCACCCTGGTGAAATGTGATATTTTTCAGATTAAGGACAGTTTTGAGTGATTTGGTTACCGAAGGTTTGTTATTTGGGAATATTTAGCATGATTCCTTGGGTATTTCCTCATTTTCACAGAATGAAACATAGCTGGTCACAGTGTCAGTCAATTAATCTAGGTCAGTGCAGGAGCTAGGAAACATGTCCCAGTCAGTATTATCAAAGCAGTCCTGAAGACGCTCAGTAGCCGTCCACACCTGAACATTTCTTCGTTTGACTTTGCCTCTCTTCAGCACAGGTTTGTAGGTGGGAACGAGTTAAACAGTGTTATTGTCAGCCAAGCCCAGTGGAGCTCTGGCAATGGATTTATACACCCCATTTACTGTCCCATAACACAAATCTAACACGTTGCCATGTCTTATAAGGCAAGTGACATATTGGTAATGATTGAGAGATTTTTTTCAGCCAACAGTGATTAAAGTCACCCATAACAAGATTTGGAGCATCAGGGAGTTGTACTGTAACCTTTGCACGGTCCGGGAGATGGTGTCCGTCGCCTTGTCCACGTTAGCTCTAGAATGGATGTAGACCGGCGTGATAATATCTGGGGGAACTCCCATGGTAAGAAAACGGGCCGAAGTGAGACCGATAAAAGTTTAATATCTGGGTCACACACGCTCTCACGTACAACCACGTGTTGCACGATCGTTTAAATGAAATCAATTTTTATTTGCCACATGCGCCGAATACAACAGGTGTAGACATTACAGAGAAATGGTTACTTACAAGCCCTTAACCAACAATTCAGTTTAAGAAAAATAATTAAAGAGCAGCAGTAAAATAAAATAACAGTAGGGATGTTATATACAGGGGGTACCGGTACAGAGTCAATGTGCTGGGGCACCGGTTAGTCGAGGTAATTGAGGTAATATGTACATGTGGGTAAAGTTAAAGTGACTATGCATAAATAATAAACAGAGTAGCAGCAGCGTAAAAGAGGGGGTTGGGGTGGGATGGGGGGGCAATGCAAATAGTCCGGTTAGCCATGATTAACTGTTCAGCAGTCTTAAGGCTTGGGAGTAGAAGCTGTTAAGAAGCCTTTTGGACCTAGACTTGGTGCTCCGGAACTGCTTGCCGTGCGGTAGCAGAGAGAACAGTCTATGACTAGGGTGGCTGGAATCTTTGATAATTTTTAGGGCCTTCCTCTGACACCGCCTGGTATAGAGGTCCTGGATGGTGCAGGTGTAGAACTTTTTGAGGATCTGAGGACCCATGCCAAATCTTTTCAGTCTCCTGAGCGGGAACAGGCTTTGTCGTGCCCTCTTCACGACTGTCTTGGTGTGTTTGGACCATGATAGTTTGATGGTGATGTGGACACCAAGGAACATGAAGTTCTCAACCTGTTCCACTACAGCCCCGTCGATGAGAATGGGGGCGTGCTCAGTTCTCTTTTTTTTCCTGTAGTCCACAATCATCTCCTTTGTTTTGATCACATTAAGGGAGAGGTTGTTATCCTGGCACCACACGGCCAGGTCTCTGACCTCCTCCCTATAGGCTGTCTCATCGTTGTCGGTGATCAGGCCTACCACTGTTGTGTTGTCGGCAAACTTAATGATGGTGATGGAGTCGTGCCTGGCCATGCAGTCACGGGTGAACAGGGAGTACAGGAGGGGACTGGGCACGCACCCCTGAGGGGCCCCCGTGTTGAGGATCAGCGTGGCAGATGTGTTGTTACCTACCCTTACCAACTGGGGGTGGCCCGTCAGGAAGTCCAGGATCCAGTTGCAGAGGGAGGTGTTCAGTCCCAGGGTCCTTAGCTTAGTGATGAGCTTTGAGGGCACTATGGTGTTGAACGCTGAGCTGTAGTCAATGAATAGCATTCTCACGTAGGTGTTCCTCTTGTCCAGGTGGGAAAGGGCAGTGTGGGTGAAATAGAGATTGCATCATCTGTGGATCTGTTGGGGCGGTATGCAAATTGGAATGGGTCTAGGGTTTCTGGGATAATGGTGTTGATGTGAGCCATGACCAGCCTTTCAAAGCACTTCATGGCTACAGACGTCAGTGCTACGTGTCATTAGTCATTTAGGCAGGTTATCTTAGTGTTCTTGGGCACAGGGACTATGGTGGTCTGCTTGAAACATGCTGGTATTACAGACTCAGTCAGGGACATGTTGAAAATGTCAGTGAAGACACTTGCCAGTTGGTCAGCGCATGCTCGGAGTACACGTCCTGGTAATCCGTCTAAATGTTGACCTGCTTAAAAGTCTTACTCACATCGGCTACAGAGCGCTTGATCACATAGTCATCCGGAACAGCTGATGCTCTCATGCATGCTTCAGTGTTGCTTGCCTCGAAGCGAGCATAGAAGTGATTTAGCTCGTCTGGTAGGCTCGTGTCACTGGGCAGCTCGCGGCTGTGCTTCCCTTTGTAGTCTGTAATGGTTTTCAAGCCCTGCCACATCCGACGAGCGTCAGAGCCGGTGTAGTACGATTAATTCTTAGTCCTGTATTGACTCTTTGCCGGTTTGATGGTTCATCGGAGGGCATAGCGGGATTTATTATAAGCGTCCGGGTTAGAGTACCGCTCCTTGAAAGCGGCAGCTCTACCCTTTAGCTCAGTGCTGATGTTGCCTGTAATCCATGGCTTCTGGTTGGGATATGTACACTGTGAGGGACGACGTCATCGATGCACTTATTGATGAAGCCAGTGACTGATGTGGTGTACTCCTCAATGCTATCGGAAGAATCCCGGAACATATTCCAGTCTGTACTATCAAAAGAGTCCTGTAGCTTAGCATCTGCTTCATCTGACCACTTCCTTATTAACTGAGTCACTGGTGCTTCCTGCTTTAGTTTTTGCTTATAAGCAGGAATCATAAGGATAGAGTTATTGTCAGATTTGACAAATGGAGGGCGAGGGAGAGCTTTGTACGCGTCTCTGTGTGTGGAGTAAAGGTGGTCTAGAGTTTTTTTTTCCTCTGGTTGCACATTTAACATGCTGGTAGAAATTAGGTAGAACAGATTTAAGTTTCCCTGCATTAAAATCCCCGGCCACTAGGAGCGCTGCCTCTGGATGAGTGTTTTCCTGTTTACTTATGGCCTTATACAGGTCATTGAGTGCAATCTTAGTACCTGCATAGACAGCTATGAAAAATATAGATGAAAACTCTCTTTGTAATTAGTGTGGTCTACAACTTATCATGAGATACTCTACCTCAGGCGAGCAAAACCTCGAGACTTCCTTAGTATTAGATTTTATGCACCAGCTGTTGTTTACAAATATACACAGACCGCCACCCCCACGCCGTTCTATCCTGCCAATGTAGCGTATATCCCGCCAGCTGTATGTTATCCATGTCGTCGTTCAGCCACGACTCTGTGAAACATAAGATATTACAGTTTTTAATGTCCCGCTGGTAGGATAACCATAATCTTAGGTCATCTAATTTATTTTCAAATGATTGAACATTGGCTAATAGAATTGATGGAAGAGGCAGTTTACTTGCTCGCCGTCAGATCCTTACAAGGCACCCCGACCTACGTCCACGATATCTCTGTCTCTTTCTCATGCGAATGACGGGGATTTGGGCCTTGTCGGGTGTCTGTAGGACATCCTTCGCGTCCGACTCGTTGAAGAAAAAATCTTTGTCCGATACGAGGTGAGTAATCGCTGTCCTGATACCCAGAAGCTCTTTTTGGTCATAAGAGACGGTGGCAGAAACATTATGTACAGAATAAATTACAAATAACGCGAAAAAACACACATAATAGTACAATTGGTTAGAAGGCGGTAAAACGGCTGCCATCTTCTTCGGCGCCATTAGATTATTAATGTAGAGGCAGACCTTTCCACCTTGTGCTTTGCCCATTGTTTATACATCACGGTCCTGGCGCACAGGCAACCCAAAGCCGTCGATTTCTAAATCAGCTTCTCGGTCCTGCTCTTTCAGCCAGAATGCAGGCATTTTGGTACTCTGATAAGCACTTGACAGTTTGTCAGTTTTACAGTATGTCTGAGAGATTGCGCATTACCCAGGATGTGTGTGTGCGCGTGTGTGTGTGTGCTGTGCTGTGGATTGTAAAGCTGTCAGGTCGCATATATCCACTGCGGTTTAATTCCCTTTGTTAAACGCCTCGGGCAAACCACTGACTTCTGAGATGATGTCATACTTATCAGATGAGAGTACATGCTTACTCAGGCCTGCAGAGGACGGCACTTATAATCACACACACACACACACACCCCGCCCACACACACACACACACACCAACCCGAATGGATGGACGGACGGACAAACAAATCTCTCTCCCTTACATCACACCCTTCTCTCATTCTCTTTCATCTCTGCTTCTCTCTCTCCTTCTTTTCCCCTTCCTCTTCCCTTCTCATTATCTCTCTCTCTCTCTCTCTCTCTCTCTCTCTCTCTCTCTCTCTCTCTCTCTCTCTCTCTCTCTCTCTCTCTCTCTCTCTCTCTCTCTCTCTCTCTCTCCTCTATTTAACCCCCTTCTCCCATCCTATCCTTCCTCCCCATCTCCTTACCAGTTCTATATGGGTGAGTTGCTGTGCCAGTGTGTAAGGGTCATTGCAGATAGTTAGCATGTCCTTCTGGATGGGTGGAGACTTGGTCTTGAAGGCCACCAGCTTGTCAGAGATTGAGGAGACTGAGGAGGCGTTCACTTTGACAATGCTCTCCTCTCCCTGGGCGATGGCTGCCAGCTTCTGGCTCAGGGTCTGCAGGACCTGATTCAGTGTCTTCCAGTACGCCTGGGGAGGACATTATAATGATCATAAACATATTAATGACGTTCAACATTAGCATCATCATCAGGAGATGAAAAATAACAATAATCCTCATCATCATCATCATCATCATCATCATCATCATCTATCCAGACCATCCCTCTCCTTCACAGTTCACACCCTGCTTTCACACCATTGTTTCTTCTGTGTGTGTGAGTGAGTGTGTGTTGTGTTTCCCTCAGCCTCCTCCTGCTCTCTCTCCATCCCTCTTCCTCCCTCGCTTCCTCCCCTTCCTGCTCTCCATCCTCCATCCCTCTCTCTACCTCCATCATCATCCATCTCTTTCTCTCTCTTTCCCTGAGGCTGCAGAGCAAATGCCAAAACCCCTCCCCTTGTTGCTCTTTCTCTCTTCTCCTCTCTCTTTCTCTCTGTCCCTCCTCTTTTCTCTCTCTCTCTCTCTTCACTCTCTCCCTATCCCTCTCTCTCACCTGTAATGCAGTGGAACAGGATTGTATAACATTGCACTGTTTTGTACATTCTGAGTGCCACACACCTTCACCCTGCTCTCAGTCTAGTCTCTGAGACTATGGAGGGTAGCCTCCCTCCCTCCCATCCTCCACCTCTCTCTCTCCTCCTCACCTCATCACAGGGTGCTATCCTGTGGATAATGTCTTTGAACAGGCCCACCATCTTCTCCTCTCTGAAGTCTGTGGGGAACGTCTCTGTCCACTCTGTTAGCAGCTGCAGGATCTTGGGACCAAACTTCCTCACTTTAGCCTGGGGGGAGACACAGGAGAAGAAGATACAGTCAGAGACACTGGGAAGGAAAGCCTTCAGTAGGTATGTAGAAGTGATCAGCAGTAGCTGTGTGTGTTGAGTGACTGTGTAAGTGTGTTCAAGCAGTACTGACCGTGTTGAGAGGACTCTGTGTATAAGTGGTCAGTAGGTGCGTGTTGTCAGTATGCGTGCATGTGTGTGTGTACTGACCATGTCCAGTGGACTCTGGTCCAGCTGCTGTTGTTTGATGCAGGTCTCACAGAGTCTGGCCAGCAGCTCAGGAGGAGAGATGAACAGACGAGCACTCAGCAGGAACGTAAACACATAGGCTTTCTGTGTAAGGAAACACATATAGTATTTACATTATCATTAACATTACTATTGCGGTTACTATTCCTATTTCTACTACTGATGCTGTGGCCAGTACAACCAGAGTACATGACTGGCCCTCTAATAGTTGTTTACCTCTGGATAGTAGTCTGTGGTGGGCACCAGGTGCTGGATGAGAGTGTCCAGTGAGGCAGAGGTGATGGGGGGTCCGTCGGCCAGGCAAGCCCCAGGCCCCCGGGCCTCCTGAGGGCCCCCCTCATCCTCAGGCTCGGTCACCGGGTCAGCCTCAGAGCAGGTGGAGGCCAGGTGTGGGCTGAAGCCACTGGGGGTGAACATAGTGCCTGCTGCTGGGCACACAGTCTGGGGCATTCCTCTCCTGGCTGAGAGAGAAAGTGTAATGGATGAAGGCTATTTACAGACACATGCATGGCAGATATATACATATAGACAGATACTGCACAAACACACTCAACTACGCACAACCACAAACACAGGCGTGCATACACACACCATACACACACACACACCCTTCTTTCTCTCTCCTTTTGCCATATCACATTCAGCAGGCAAGGTGAAGCAGAGCATTATCTCCAGTGCAATCTCCACTACACTCTGATTCCATCCAAGTGACATTACAACCCGCCCGCCACAGCCGCCGTCTTCGTCTCCCCCCGCCCCAAAACAGCTGCCACGTCTCCGAGGACAATGAGAGAGAGGGGATATGTGGGTCACACCATCGCCGTGGAGACCGTTGCCGTGAGAAAGCGTTCCGTGTCCTCGCTCTCTACCCCTCATCGCTCTCTCTGCTCTTAGATCGCGCTCTGTTACACGTGAAAACAATTCAACACATCCCTCTCAATGGGCCAACAAGGTAGTTGTAGTGTAAAGAAGCATTTACACTGGAGCAGATCTACTGTATTAAAGTGAGGCATTATAGAGGTCAGGAAGGGTAGGCCCACATCAAGACTGTATTATGACATCATGGGGCTTCTTAGCCCACAGTAGATACTAATGGATAATATTATGTTGAGCCTATAGATAGTTGTATAGTGTTAACTGTAAACTAAGCAGCCCCCAAAGAAGGAAGAACAATAGCATGCCAATTCCTGGTATTTATTGTGAATCACTGGCATCAGGTAACAAAAAGGTGTGGCCGAGAAAGCCTATTTGCAGTCTCTCCCTGACCCATTACCATTGGCTTTCTTATGAAAAGTAATTACCGTATTTTCCGCACTATAAGGCGCACCGAAGTATAAGCCGCAGCAGCTAAATTGAATGATGTGTACATATATAAGCCGCACTGGACTATAAGCCGCAGGTGTTTTAATGTTTAATTACCATATGTAAGGGTTCGTGCACAGAGGGGATTGTCGGGAAAGAGACAAACTGTCTCGCTCTCGTAATGTCTGTCTGTCTTGCTCTCGTTCTGTCTCTCATTCTGTCTCTCGTACCACTCTCGGTTCCACTTTTACTTTCGCGCTACCTGTCTCACTCTTTTCCGGCCTCCAGCTTTTCCTGCTGGAGCCCGCCGCTTAAAGGTGGGGGGAGCGGACCGGTCATAGAGCCCATAGAGTTAAAGTTGGTGGACTGTAACCTGTAAAATCCATAGATTTAGGAGGTCTTCTAGTGGCCGTTAGCTGTAAAAATCCATAGATTAGCCGCACCGTTATATAAGCCGCAGGGTCGAAAAATGGGAAAAAAGGCGCGGCTTATAGTCCGAAAATTACGGTAACTAAATGTCTTTAGACTGTTTGAAAAAAAAGCCCACAGCCAGTGTCTTATTACCCAGCAGTGGTGAGAGAGAAAGTCAGTAAACAAACAGTGCCAACAGTGAAACCTTGTGCAGAGCAAAGAAGTAAACATTGCATGTTCTTCCTGCTTTGCCTACCCAGTCTCAGAATGTACACAAGCAGCCTAAACAAACAGAGGCAGGGCTACAGTGCCAGTGCCACAACAGCAGCAAGCGGGAGAGTGCATAGAGATACCTGCCTGCCTGCCAGCCTGTGTGTGACGAGGCTGGACTGTGTGTGACGAGGCTTTTCACTGTGTTCAGGAGAAGACAAAAGCAGTCCTATTGACTTTCATGGGAGAAGAGAGATATCAATACTTACAGTATAAATGAACCATAGCAAAGCTAGCCTATACACTCAAAATGGCCCTTAAGGGCAGGGATTGTTCAAAAGCAATCAAACCTATTCACATTCCTATGTAGATCATTGAGTAGAAAAGCACACAACTGAGCGTATTCTGAGCGTTGAATGGCAATATGAACGACTGTGCTAAATCATTTGGGAGCAATGGAGTGGTAGGATTCCTATCACAATATACAGAAACTGGCTGCCCTCTCCCCCACCGGATCTTCTTGACTGACTGGTGTCACTAGTCCCTAGGAGATGAGAGGACAAGCCGACACTGCCATGTGAGATCGTGACGCATGTCTCAAGTTTCCTCAGCTTCCCTTTGTTCCTCTGCTCATATTACACACACACACACACACACACACACACACACACACACACACACACACACACACACACACACAGTGGCATAGCAAGGTCCGAGCAAGGGCACCCCCCCCCCCCAAACCCACCAAAATGTTATATATACAGTGCATTCGGAAAGTATTCAGACGCCTTGACTTTTTCCACAGTTTGTTACATTACAGCCTTATTCTAAAATTGATTCAAAAAATTTTTTTACTCAATCTACACACAATACCCAACTAAGAAAACCGGGGGACAAGGGCCTTGGTCAAGTAGGTGACCAAGAACCCGATGGTCACTCTGATAGAGCTCCAGAGTTCCTCTGTGGCGATGGGAGAACCTTCCAGAAGGATAACCATCTCTGCAGCACTCCACCAATCAGGCCTTTACAGTAGAGTGGCCAGACGGAAGCCGCTCCTCAGTAAAAGGCACATGACAGCCCACTTGGAGTTTGACAAAAGGCACCTAAAGGACTATCAGACCATGAGAAACAAGATTCTCTGGTCTGATGAAATCACGATTGAACTCCTTGGCATGAATGCCAAGCGTCACGTCTGGAAGAAACCTGGCACTATCCCTACGGTAAAGCATGGTGGTGGCAGCATCATGATGTGTGGATGTTTTTCAGTGGCAGGGACTGGGAGACTCGTCAGGATAGAGGGAAAGATGAAAGGAGCAAAGTACAGAGAGATCCTTGACGAAAACCTGCCCCAGAGCGCTCAGGACCTCAGACTAGGGCGAATGTTCACCTTCCAACAGGACAACGACCCTAAGCACACAGCCAAGAAAACGCAGGAGTGGCTTCGAGACAAGTCTCTGACTGTCCTTGAGTGGCCCAGCCAGAGCCCGGACTTGAACCTGATCGAACATCTCTGGAGAGACCTGAAAATAGCTGTGCAGCGATGTTCCCCATCCAACCTGACAGAGCTTGAGAGGATCTGTAGAGATAGCCACCCTTTGCCTTGATGACAGCTTTGCACACTCTTGGCATTCTCTCAACCAGTGTGGTGTCAGGAAAATAACCTCTCACTCAATGTAAAAAAAAATTGTTTAAGAAAACAAAGGAGATGATTGTGGACTACATGATTCCATATGTGTTATTTCATAGTTTTGATGTCTTTGCTAGGAAAATAACCTCTCACTCAACGTTTTTAAAAATGAAGGAGACGATCGTGGACTTCAGGAAACAGCAGAAGAATACCCCCCTATCCACATCGACGGGACAGCAGTGGAGAAGGTGGAGAGTTTTAAGTTCCTTGGCGTACATATCACTGACAAACTGAAATGGTCCACCCACATAGACAGTGTGGTGAAGAAGGCGCAACAGGAGGCTGCATAAATTTGGCCTGTCACCTAAAACCCTCACAAACTTTTACAGATGCACAATTGAGAGAATCCTGTCGGGCTGTATCACCGCCTGGTACGGCAACTGCACCACCCACAACCGCAGGGCTCTCCAGAGGGTGGTGCGGTCTGCACAACGCATCACCGGGGGCAAACTACCTGCCCTCCAGGACACCTGCAGCACCCGATGTCACAGGAAGGCCAAAAAGATAATCAAGGACAACTACCACCCGAGCCACAGCCTGTTCACCCCGCTATCATCCAGAAGGCGAGGACAGTACAGGTACATCAAAGCTGGGACCGAGAGAATGAAAAACAGCTTCTATCTCAAGGCCATCAGACTGTTAAACAGCCATCACTAGCACGGCGAGGCTGCTGCCTGCATACAGACTTGAAAATCACTGCATTTTAATAAAGGGAACACTAGTCACTTTAATAATGCCACTTTAATAATGTTTACATATATTGCATTACCCATCTCATATGTATATACTGTATTCTATACTATCTATTGCATCTTAGCCTATGCCACTTTGATAATGACATTGCTCATCCATATATTTATATGTTCTTATTCCATTCCTTTACTTAGATTTGTGTGTATTAGGTTTTTGTTGTGGAACTGTTAGATATTACTAGATATTGCTGCACTGTTGGAACTAGAAGCACAAGCATTTCGCTACACTCGCAATAACATCTGCTAGCCATGTGTATGTGACCAATACATTTGATTTGATTTGATTTGATGAGGTAGTCACCTGGAATGCATTTCAATTAACAGGTGTGCCTTCTTAAAAGTTAATTTGTGGAATTTCTATCCTTCTTAATGTGTTTGAGTCAATCAGTTGTGTTGTGACAAGGTAGGTGGGGGTATACAGAAGATAGCCCTATTTGGTAAAAGACCAAGTCCATATTATGGCAAGAACAGCTCAAATAAGCAAAGAGAAACGACAGTCCATTGTTACTTTAAGACATGAAGGCCAGTCAATCCGTAAAATTTCAAGAACTTTGAATGTTTCTTCAAGTGCAGTCGCAAAAACCATCAAGCGCTATGATGAAACTAGCTCTCATGAGGACCGCCGAAAGGAAGACCCAAAGTTACATCTGCTGCAGAGGATAAGTTCATTAGAGTTACCATCCTCAGAAATTGCATCCCAAATAAATGCTTCACAGAGTTCAAGTAACAGACACATCTCAACATCAACTGTTCAGAGGAGACTGTGTGAATCAGGCCTTCATGGTAGAATTGCTGCAAGGAAAGCACTACTAAAGGACACCAATAAGAAGAAGAGACTTGCTTGGGCCAAGAAACACGAGCAATGGACATTAGACCGGTGGAAATGTGTCCAAATTGGAGATTTTTGGATCCAACTGCCGTGTCTTTGTGATACGCGGTGTGGGTGAACGGATGATCTCCGCATGTGTATTTCCCACGTAAAGCATGGAAGAGGAGGTGTTATGGTGTGGGGGTGCTTTGCTGGTGACACTGTCGGTGAGTTATTTAGAATT